GGGAGGGAGGAAGGAAGGAAGGAAGGAAGGAAACAACAGTGAAATTGCCAGTGCAGGGAGCCCAGACCTACTTAAGACACTCACCTGTAGTCAGGGATGACCATGCCACACATCTTCCAGAGCAGCCTATGGGAATGGTGCCCGCTAATAATCGATTCAATGTCCTCGACCTCCAAAGGAAAAGGCTGGCTCCAAGAGCCTTCCATGAGACTGTGATTCTGAGTGGGAGGTACTTAATGGGAGCCATTCAGACAACTTGGTCTTAATTTTTTTCCTCACATGGACAAACAAAATCTGTTTTGTTTCCAACGCATGAGAAAGTGAAATTAACCTAGGCTAGGTTCCTAATATAAAACTGATCTCAGATATGAGCTATCTCTGACAGTGATTATTTAGCAGACTATTTTCTAAAGCTGGCCATAATAATAGCTCCTCCCATCCCACATGATATTTTGAGTTTTTATCTGCATCCTACTGAACCTGGGTTGGCCTGACTGTTTTGAACAATAAAATACAGCAGAGAAGTAATGCTGTTCCAGTTCAGGGCACAGTCCTTAAATAGCCTGGCAGCTTCCACTCCCTGTCCTGGGAGACACCCACTCTTGGGGACACTCCCTCCTAGAACTCAGTTGCCATACTGTAAGATGCCCAAGTCATATGGAGAGGCTACATATGGGCATTCTATTCTGGTTGACAGCCCCAGCTGAGTTCCAGCCAAAGCCAGCTTCAACTGCCAGCCAGGTGAATGGCCCACCTTGGACCTCCAGCTCAGTTGAGCCCTAGGTTAACTCAGCTGACATTGGAGTGTAACTGTGTGGAAGACTCCAAGTGAAAACTGCCCAGTGAGCCAAAATCAACCCACAGAGAACCCACACAGATAGATGACCCAAAGAGAGACCTTCTGGTTAGCCTAAGTCAAAGAGCTGTGAGAATTAATAACAGATTATTTTATTCCACTAAATTTTGATAGTTTCTCACAGCAGCAATGAACAACGGAAACATTCCCCATCATAATGACCAAAGGAACAGAATATACTTCTAAGAGCCTGAAACCATTGAAGAATATTTTACACGTTAGAACTGAGAGGACGGGCACACCTACAGAAGTTGGGGCGATCCACTGGGCCATACTCAATTTCCTCTCTCTAGGTTACAAGAAGAAAGCTATGCTCAGCCACATCTTTGAGAGTGTTGCTGAAGCTAGTTTTCTAAAGCCCATGCAAGTACCCGATAATGTGAACAATAAAAATAAACTTGAGCCCTAGCCAGTTTGGTTCAGTGGATGGAGCATCAGCCTGCGGCCTGAAGGGTCCCGGTTTCGATTCCGGTCAAGGGCACATGCCTGGGTTGCGGGCTCAATCCCCAGTGGGGGTTTGTGCAGGAGGCAGCCACTCAATGGTCCTCTTTCATCATTGATGTTTCTCTCTCTCCCTTTCCCTTACTCTCTGAAATCAATAAAAATATAAAATAAATAAATAAATAAATAAAACTTGAACGCTGAAAAGAGCAATACCATTAATATGTACAGCCACCCACAAGTGGCTTAGCTTATCTGAAATCTGGAAGGGGAACAATGTGCTATCAGAGCCATTCTTCACATAGCTCATCTGTGTTGGATGGGAGTTCAAGGGAGATCCACCCACTGGTTATAAGGCCAAAGCCACGCCCATATCCAGTGTGCTTTACAGATCACACACTTGGTCTGCACAGAGGAGAGTTTGAAAACACCACTTCAGTTGGAGTTTATTTTGTGTGTGACACCATTTTAAAAATCAAGTGCTTCTCTTTTATTGACTTTCTTCAATATTGCGTATGCAAAAGACTATTTGTAAAATACAAAAGGTGTAAAGAGTGATATAACAGCCTTAACCGGTTTGGCTCAGCGGATAGAGCGTCCGCCTGCAGACTGAAGGGTCCCAGGTTCGATTCCTGTCAAGGGCATGTACCTGGGTTGCGGGCACATCCCCAGTAGGGGGCGTGCAAGAGGCAGCTGAATCGATGTTTCTCATCGATGTTTCTAACTCTGTATCCCTCTCCCTCTCCCTTCCTCTCTGTAAAAAAATCAATAAAATATATATTTTTTTAAAAAAAGAGTGATATAACAAATGCCCATACATCCACCAACTAGTTCAAAACAAGGATATTGCAGCCCTAGCCAGTTGCTCAGTGGTTAGAGAATTGACCCACAGACTGAAGGGTTGCGGGTTCAATTCAGGTCAAGGGCACATACCTTGGTCACAGGTTCAATCCCCGGCCCCAGTTGGAGCACGTGCGGGAGGCAACCAATCGATGTGCCTCTCTCACATCATTGTTTTCCTCTCTCTGTCTCTCCCCCTCCCTTCTCTCTCTCTCTCTAAAAATCAATGGGAGAAAATATCCTAGGGTGAGGATTAACCAAAAAAAAGACATTGTGTGTGCCCCTCCCTGATAGCTTTCCCCTCCTCACTCAGAAGCCATCATCACTTTGCATTTTATGTTTGCCATTTTCTTTTACTAAAACTCATTTTACCACATTTATATTCTTAAAAGAACAGTGCTTAGTTTTGTAATTTGAGAACTCGATCTATGCAAATTCTTCTACAACTTCCTTTTTTCTGTTCCACACTATGTTCCTGAGATCCACCCACTGGTTGTAGGCAGCTTCCATCCATTCTTTTCCACTGCTGTATACTCAATTATAGTTTTCTTGTTTTTTTTTTTGTTTTGTTTTGTTTGTTTGTTTGTTTTATTTTAGTCAATTATATCTCAATAAAAAATAAAATAGAAAATCGTTCCTGAAACACAACCTTCAAGATTTTCAACTTCAAAGCAATAGCACAAAAAACTGAAATGCAGACAAGCATTCAGAGACAGGGAGGCGGACCCCTACTGTGGCACCTGACATCCCCACTGGGTCCAGGGGAGGAAGAGAAATGGTGCAGCTCACTGCTGACCACAGGACAGAGTCATATCTACTGTGGCAGTGCACCCCTACCTTCAATAGGCTTGGAGAGCCAGGTTCCCAGCACATCGCCTGCCAAGATTCTGCGTTTAGGCCAAGTCCTGTTCTTATCAGCCTTAACATAGCTTTATACTTCTTTTGTAGAACAGGTAAGAAAAATACCCCTCCCTTTTTTCATAATACAAAAGTAATATCTGATTTTTGTAGATAATTTTGAAAATAGAAAGACAAAAAAGAGAGGGGGAGGATAAAAACCTCACTGTCCAAGAACCACTGATTGTCTACACATATATACATTCACCAATGTGGTCAGGTATGTGTATATTAAATATCTATGGATCTTTTAAAAATAATTTATTAATCCTATGTCTAAAAATCCATCTTAAGGAAATATTAATCAATATAGAAAATATGTACTTGATAAAAATGGAACCATGTTCCACATACCATTTCTCACAATATCCTGATCATCTTTCCATGTAATTACTTATTGTTCTTCATAATTTTTTGTGGCTGTATAGTACTCCATTGTTTGGATGCGTCATAATTTATTTACCAATTCTCTATTGAGAATATTTATGCTGTCTTCAATTTCACCCTATTAAAACAAGGCTACCCATATAGTATAAAAAAAGAAATAGCACAGAGCCTACGGAGAGTTTGCTTCCAAAAACTGAATTCTCTCTCTAGAGAGAGGGCAACATCCCTTGTTCATGTTAGTGAAATTTACAATGATGATGATGAAACTTGTCAACTACTATCCATGTAGGAACCATGAGTCAATATCCTAGAAAGGGCGGGGGAAACCCTGAAAAACCTCAGTGTGAGCAGGCTTTTCTCTTTGCTAATGTCAATGTCCCAAACTATCACCAGAGTTCTGACATATGAAAGGAAGACTCGAAAATAAGACAAATGGGGACCTTACACCCACCTATTGGATGTAGTTTGCAAGAGAGCAAAATATCATAACCAAAGGCAGGCAATAAAAGAACAGAAAGGATGCAATGGACTTAAAAAATTAACAAACCAAGATGCTATTAATTTAGCAATGAGCTATAGAAGGCTTTTCCTTGTGGAAGATAGATACAACAATAGCAGGAATTAGAAGTCTATAAAAACATAGCAAAATAATAATAGTGAAAAAGTCTGTTAGAAAGTAACAAATTAGAAATAAGAGCTCCCGTCACCTTGAAATATTTTTAAGAAATTCCCAAGTGTTCATTAAATTTGTGTTTTAGCTTATGTTCTCTGAGCCAAACTGATGTATTAAAAATGAGTTTATCCCTAGCCGGCTTGGCTCAGTGGATAGAGCAACAGCCTGTGGGCTGAAGGGTCCTGGGTTCGATTCCGGCCAAGAGCACATGCCTGGGTTGCGGGCTCGATCCCCAGTAGGGGGTGTGCAGGAGGCAGCCGATCAATGATTCTCTCTCATCATTGATGTTTCTATCTTTCTCTCCTTCCCCCTTCCTCTCTGAAATCAATAAATATCTTTTTAAAAAATAAGTTTTATATGATTCTTTCTATATAAAGAATTTCCTATTTTCCCAAATTAAAATCATATTTCTCTTTCTTTCTCAGTACCACTGAAGATGTTTCCATTCTACTGCTGGACTAAGTTACTAAGTCATTCTTATCAATTACTATCAGTAAAATATTTTAATGACTTAATACAAAGTCATACAGTGTAAATTTGTTTTTCATTTACATAGTTTCATGGTGAATTTACCCAATTTTTTAAAAAAAAACACATATAAGGGCTTTGTTAGAAATAACCATACTACTAATGGTGGCTGATAAGTTGTGATTGCCTTTTAATGAAAGACTCCCGAGGGAAATGTAACTTCACTCCAAATGCAGCTGAAAGAGAAAGGAAAATGCCAGAAAAGTAGAATGGAATTGATGGGCCTAAAGAGAAAATGCGAATGGCTCATCTTGGTAACTAAGAGTCCCATATCTACCAAGCAACAAGACCCCTTAGCCCATTGTTTCCCACCCCGGCCGGTTTGGCTCAATGGATAGAGCACCGGCCTACAGACTGAAAGGTCCTGGGCTCGATTCTGACCAAGGTCACATGCCTGGGTTGTGGGCTCGACCCCCCGTGTGGGGCTTGCAGAAGGCAGCCAATCAATGATTCTCTCTCATCATTGATGCTCCTATCTATCTATCTATCTATCTATCTATTTATCTATCCATCCATCCATCCATCTATCTATCATCTCTTTCCCTCTCCATTCCTCTCTGAAATCAATAAAAGTATATTAAAAAAAGAGCCCATCATTTCTCCAGAAGATACTCAAAGAGTGAAGGAGGTAAGTCACAGTTCAGCATTCCTCCTGCTCACCTCTTAGGGCCTTCCATGCCTTGTGGGGAGAAGGATACACACCCTGCACTGCACAGAGCCTCACCCAACTGCTTTAACCTTCTGACTGTGACAAAGGGGAAAGATGCTTACCTGCAAGCCCCGGGAGAAGATGATCTCTTAGAAAGGTCTACGGGAGAATTGTATCTTTTCACAGGGGACCCGAGGCTCGTGTTGGAAAAAGAAGTTGTTGCTTGTGAATCCCTCTTCATCTTCTCCATCTCCATCTGTAGGGGACATAGAATAGGACAGCCATGACCCACAACTGCAGTTTCTAAAAATACCCCAGATGGAAGCGATGCACAACTTCCTTTCAGAAGGACACAATGGGAGTATTTGCAGAAAAGCACTATGAGCTCATTATAGTTAGGTGATTTAGTCAAAAATAAATTCAGCCTCAAAATGTAAAGATTTCTTTCTCCTTGTTTTCTTGAGAAGAGTTAACAGAACCATATGATGGTCCTGGATACAGGACAAAGTAGGTTAAAAGTAGGTTAAATTACTAGCCATCATTACCTAAAAGATAAATCATAAGTAAGGATATGAAGTAATAATAGTAATAATAAGACAAATAATACAAATAAGTATAATAATTAATAAATACATAATAAAATATACTGTTTTGCATACTCAGAATTGTAAACCTACTTTTGCCCACTCCTGTATATAAAGATCTACAATCATTAGGAAAAGTTTCAGGTGTGATTATAACACAAAATGGTGAGTTGTGACTCTGACCAGGTGACTTAGTTGGTTGGAGTGTCTTCTAATACACCAAAAGGTTGTGGGTTTGATCCCCAGTCAGGGCACGGACAGGAAGCAAACAATCAATGTTTCTGTTTCCTCTCTCTCTCTCTCTCTCTCTCTCAGCATGTCCTCA